AGCTAACTCTGCCTCCTTCCCCCTTCCCCAACCTTGCCCTAGGCCAGATCTCCCTAAATCCATCCCAAGGGGTGATCATTTCTAATCCCCTTCTTAAAAATCCCAGAAGGAGGTAAATCCCTTTATATCAACTGTTATTTTATCCTGAAGCCTCACACAAAAGCTTTTTACTGCCATTTGGGGTCATTTTCTTAGATCTAGGCATTTCTTGGAAACAAAGCTGGCCTAGGCAGAAGATGATGAAGGAAGGCAACAAGAATTTATTAGACACTTACTATGTGCCAGGCACAGTGATATGTACTTTACTAATATTATTTCACTTGATCTTCATAATAACCCTGGGAGGTAGGTGCTATTATGATACCCATTTTATAGTTGAAGAAATTAGGTTGGACAGATGTTAAATCACTTGCTCAGGATCACACAACTAGTACATATTGGGTGCCATATTTGAACTGAGTTCTTCCTGACTCTAGGCCCCATGCTCTGTCCACTGTGTCCCCTGATTCATTTGTAACACCCTTCCCCTCTCCTTTTTATGCATGTCTCTCTATTCAACATCCTTTCTTCTACTCGATATATCCAGTCATTCTGCCTCAAGATTCCTCCTATCAAGGAAGTAAATAGCTAATAAATTCATTCACATTAAGTTATTAGGGAATAAATGTGGTTAACTTTTAAAAGAGGGACCAAGAGAAGGTGAAATTTAACTAAAGAAAAAAAGAATCTCTAATGGTAAAATTTTAGACATTGTGACCAGAGAGCTATTTGCAGGCAGGAACATCCCTCCATCAATACCACAGAGGAAGTCACCTGTTCTAAAGGTCCTCTCTACTCAGAGTCCCCTGAGGTTGCCTCTGTGGAAGGTTAGGGCATGAAGTTCCCTGGGAAAGAAGCCATTTGGAAAAATCAGTTTTTTAATTAATGGTAATTAAATGTGTGTTACCTGCCCAGCCGCATCTGCAGAAATTGGGACAGAACTCCTTTGTGGATCAGTTGGCCAAGCATTCCCCATTAATAGCCATGGCCCCCTACCAGCTTGGCTAAGGAGGGCTGTCAGAGAGCTCACGGTGCTATTGGTGCTAAGGCCTAGTCTCTATTTCCAGAGAGCTAAGAGTCAAAGCTTGGGTCAAGGATGATTTGCTATTAATATTTCTACTGTGATCTGAGCTTCTGCTGCTTTTCACTCTAAGGTGATACCCCACTTCCCTCCCATCCACTATTCTGGAAAGTATCTAGTCCATTCCAAAGCACCCAGCCTCAGTGTCCAGTGCAAGAAGTTCCAGCTCAGTGCCAGGAGTCACCCATCTTTCTTGCCCCTTTCTAGCCCATCACCAAGGCAAGGGGTTCTTAACCTGGAGTCCACAAACATAACAAAAAAATAAACTGGTTTCCTTTGTAAATGTATGTATTTATTTTATGAATTTAAAAACATGATTCTAAGAAAGGGTCCATAGATTTCACCAGATTGCCAGGGGAAAAGAGATCCAAAAGACAAAAAAAGATAATGAACCCCTACCCTAATCTTTATTTCCTTAGAAAGCCCAACTGAAAAAGATTTTCCCCAGCTACGGATGTCTCATTTCCAGTTCTTCCTGTGAATTCCTTGAAGAATATGCCCCGTCACAGTCCAAGGAGGAGGCTATTCATGCCAGAGGTTATGTATGTAGCCTGTAGCTAGCTCAGCATTGAACCTTTTCAGCCATGATAACTTAAAGACTCTGAATCCATGTCATTAAACTAAAAGACTTAATTATCCCTCTAAGTGAGCCCTTGACAATTCAAAGAACTCTGGTTCCAGATAGACCCCCTTGCTATGTTTCCCATATTCAGTATGGGCTGTATAGATCAATCAGTTCTGCTAACTGTGACTAGAACCGCCATCAATGTAATATTCTCTGCTTACAACCATGCAAACCACCAATATAATAGCAAAAATATTTACACAAAACAAAATCAGTATAAAAATGAGACATAAGACATAAAGTCAGTACAGATAAGAAGGAATCAAGTTGTAGAATCATCTGCCCACATACACCAGTGGGCACATACAGGCTGCAGGGAAATTATAATCAAATCTCAGTATTCTCAGAATATTAAGACACTAGACATCATGTTGTTGCTTCAGAACTCACAATTCCAGGGTAAAACTTCAATTTTCTGTACCATCAACTGGATAGAGTTCCCTACAACTTTCTGGGGAATGGGATGGGGTGGCAGTGGGCAGGAAGGATTACTTAAGCAATGGGATGGGTTGGGTATCTGGGAAGCCTCTAGACTCAACATTGGAGTGGTTGTCTAGATTCTGCAGGGACTCCTGGGTTTGGAGATGCTATGACAATAATACTCCAACATGGATAGCTTCTGTGTAATCAGCCACTGCACAAACAGTTACCACTTGTCTTTCTGTTTCTATTCAATCATGTGGCTCTCCTCATGGCCTCTTGGAAAACTCTCCACTAGAGTACTTGATTGATGACACTAATGTTCTATACTCAGACCTGCAACCTTCTGAAAAATGTAATCCAATGAATTTTATGCATTTCAAAACATGATTCTGAAAAAAAAAGAAAGAAAAACATGATTCTGAAAAGGAGTCCATAGGCATCACCAGATTACCAAGGGGAAACAGATCCATTCACAAAAAAAGATTAAGAACCTCTGCCCTGGAGTCAAGAAGACCTGAGTTCAAATCTGGCCTCAGACACTGTGTAGCTGTGTGATCCTGGGATAAGACACTTAATTTCTGTTTTCCTCAGTTTCCTTATCTGTGAAATGAGCAAAATAACAGCACCTGTTTTCCAAAGTTGTGAGATCAAGTGAGATAACAACGACAAAGTGCTTAGCACAGTGGCTGGCACATAGTAAATGCTATATAAATGTTAGCTATATTATTAGCCATTATTTTCCCCAAGAATGGTGCTCTCATAGCTCCAAGTTTCATGGGAATGAAGTCTAGGAACTTCGCTCCTTGGTTATGCCCAAAGATCCACTCTCCACATATGCTTGAAGTCTAGAGAGAGGACAGTTGTTCATTAAGTTAGTGGTTTGCATCAATCTAGAAGGTCCTTCTCTGATTAACTTTTACATTATTTCTCTCTTTGTGCTTAGCTTGCTCTCGCTGTCACTGATTTCCCTCTGTCTACTTTCTTTTCACAGTCTTTAGCTCTCCCTCTGCTTCTCTGTCTGTCTGTCTGTCTCTCTCTCTCTGAAAGGAATTGTCTTTTAATGGAAGGAGACTGGGGCTGGAAGACCAGAGACTTGGATAATTATTAGCCCCATCTCTGCTGCTAATAAACTCTGTGACCTGTGCTAAATCTCTGGGCTTTAGGTTTGGGATTTTTTTTTAAATTTAGAAAATAAGTTCCCTTCCAGCTCCTATCTTCTGGGCTTCTTTCACCCTGTCTTTCTCTTAGTCTGTGTGGGTCTTTATTTTGGTCATTACAAATTGGCCCCCAGCACTCCCTTGTGTATTCTTTTCCTTTCTGCTTTACTGGAGCAGAAGCAGGGGTCAGAAGAAGTCTAGACTCTGCCAGAGTCCAGGTCAGTTAAGTGTGAGGAGCAGCTGGTTTCAGGGACTGCATGTTGCTCTAACCTTAGTGCAGTTCCGGATGATGTTTCCCTGACATTGGACATAGGTCATTCATTACCACTGCCTTCATCATAATTAAACTCTTCTTTTAATGAGATACTCAATCTAGGCTCCAGGGGACCCTCAGCCTGGATCATCATCCATGTCTGAAGAGTGACCTGCTGAAAGGTCTCCCTCCCCACTACACCAGGCCACCAGCCATCCCCCTCCTTCCAGATTCAGCAGCCCTTTCCCCCTTTCTTCCCCTTTTGTTCTATCCCACTCCACTCCAAATACCCCATGTTCAGCAAACATGGGCTTCTGAGTGTGAAAGGATATTTTAGGAGTCATTAAAACAATTCATGGGGTCAGGGAGAGGAAGGGCAGGTGAATCTTGGTAATTATGGCTGGGGCATTTCTTGCCATTTCAACTTTCACAACATTTCTCTCATCTGTCCCCTTCTTTCTACTCACACATCCACATGTTCACCCTAGTTCCAGCCCTTACCACCTTTTGTGGACTAACCTCTCTCTGCTACAAGTCTCTGCCCTTTCCAAACCTTCCTTGACTCATCTGCTAAAGGGATTTGCTTGACTCTTCAGCTTCTAGATTTCTGCCCCCTTCCACCCATCGACTTTGCATTTGTTTTGTATATATCTTGCATATACCAATATATGAATATGTTATTTCCTGTCATTGAATGTGAGCTCCCTCAGGACAGGAATTGTTTTGTTTTTTCTCTTCATAAGTCTCACTGACCCTAAGTTTCTTCATTGCAGAATAAAGGGTTTGGTCTACATTGGCCTCTAAGGTCCTTTCTAGCTCTGTCCTTATGATCCTATGGCCACGATCCTAGCACTCTATATTGAATAAGCTCATAGGGCCTCATAAATACTTGTTTATTGATTGATTGTATGCCAGGGTTTGTGTGGTTTTGGCTGGAGTCTGGCAAAACATTTCAATTCTCTGAGCTTTAGTTTCCTCATCTATAAAATGGGAATAATACTGGGGCAGCTAGGTGGCACAGTGGATAAAGCTCTGGCCCTGGATTCAGGAGGACCTGAGTTTAAATCCAGCCTCAGACACATAACACTTACTAGCTGTGTGACCCTGGGCAAGTCACTTAACCCCATTGCCTAACCAAGAACCAAAACAAAACAAAAAAATAAAATGAGAATAATAATGTCCTATTTACCTCCAAAGGGTCTTGTGAGGATCCAGTGAGAAAATACACAAGGAAACTCTTTGGAAATTATAAAGCATTATTTATATATAAGAAGTTATCACTATACTCCAAGGATCTATTATTTCATCTGCAGATCACAAATCCCTCGAGGCCTGGTACATGGACTTCATGGAACAAAGAAGAAGACTTAATACTCTTCTCTAAGAGGAGGGAGATGGGCATTTTGAAGGAAAGGAGCACCTTGTTCTCCCAAGAAGGATGCTGTAAATTCAAAGGTCTTGTCAGATGAGAGATGAGCCAATAAAAGTCAGTGGAAGAAGAGAGAAGAAGTGGTGGCTGGTGATTCCCTAATGAGGGAAACTGAGGTAGCCATTTGGACAAATAACCTAACAACAATAATAGAGTGTCCTTGTCATCTTCCTAGCCCATGTATCCAATAGGTGACAGAGAACCTTCCCATACTTGGCAAACTGTATGGCTCCTACACCCTCCTGTCAATTCACGTGAACAGAAATGATACTGCCAGAAAGAACCCAGAAACCATTTCTAAAGATAGAAAAATCTTGGACAAGAAACTGATGACCTTAAGAGTACAGGTGATGTTTTTAATAGCTGCTCTCCATTAAAAGCAAAGGTTTCATAAGGCAAAGGTAGATTTGGGAAATGAATGACTGATTAAGAAGGTGGTATTTGAAAATGAGATTAGGGTATCAGGGCCATGGCTTAAAATATTGGAATTAAAAGCTCCTGGCCAGGGATGGAGTGTAACTAACATAGGCTGGTAAGAATCTATCAAAGTCTTGTAAATCAAAATCTATACTGAAATGGAAAGAGAAGGGAGAAACCTGTGGAACTAGGTAGCACAGATTCAAGGATTCAATGTAGGAAGAAATTATATAGATATAGATATAGATATAGATATAGATATAGATATAGATATAGATATAGATATAGATATATAGATATATAGATATAGATAAATATATACATATATAAATACGTATTTATATATGTGTGTACAAATGTGTATTTACATACACATATGTATGTACATGTATGTATATATTGACATGTTGTCTCCCCCATTAGAGAGTGAGTTCCCTGTGGACAGTGTCTATTTTCACTCTTCTTTATATCCCCGTCGTTTAGCACAATGTCTGGTGCATAGTAAGTCCTTAATAAATCCTTTTTGATTGATTTGATTTTACAGGAGGCAAAATCATGTGGTGAAATCCAGGAGTGAGAAAAGGTCAGCATAGTCGAGGACAATGAATGAAGATAACCAAAGGTTGAAATGAGCAATATTGTCATTGGACTTTACTACAGACCACCTGAACAGAAAAAGGTAATCTTAGCCTTTCAGTTTGGGAAGCAGATCGCAACTCTGGCATAATGTAATACTGATAGAGTGCCTTAATTATTTAGACATCTGTTGAACTTTTCTTTGTGCCCACAGCAGAGTGGTCAGTAATTTCCTGATTTGCCTTGATGATTTCATCCTTCAAAATAGAAATCAGTGATGAGAGATCTGATTCTCATTAACAAGAATAAATTGTTGGGGTAGAAATTATGGGAACCTTATGGCTAGGGACTGAGAAGTCACCACTTCATCTTAGAATTTTTGATAGAAGAGAGTTAATCTGAGAATAGTCAGACGAGCCTCCTAGATTTTGGGAGAGCAGCCAGAAATAGGACAGATAGGACTATCCTACCTATGAATTAAAATTTTACAGGGAAAGTCATCCCAGGAGGGATGGAAAATTTTCAAGAATGTGTTTTCAGAATTTCAAAGAGGAACAATTCATATGAGGGGGAAAAAAGAAGTTTAAAGAGACCATTGTAAATGTACAGAGATCTCATTAACCACCTAAATTTTAAAAAGACATTTGTAGAGAATGCAAGCAAGGTAAGGCAAGAGAGGATGAATACCAAAGTATGGTATGATACTATTAGAATCTTAGCAGCACAAAATGAATTGCAGGTGATGGTGAAAGAAGGTTTTTTTTTTAAGAAAAAAAATAATAAAACTATATTGGCAAAAAAATAAGAGGAACAAAGAAGGAAATGGATTGCTGCTTAGGGTAAATATAGTGATGTTGATGCATGATGGAGAAAAGGAAGAGCTACTCAGCTCTTCTGTTTTCTCTGCCAAGGAGACGGATATTTGTACTGGAAAGGACAAATCAAACCCAAGATCAGTATGAAGATAGTACCAAGCCACCTAGCTGCTGTTGATGAGTTGAAGTCACCAAAATCCAGGGGAACTATGTCCCCAGTACTGAAAAGTATTAGCAATTTTTTTTCACGTGATAGAAAAATTCTAGAACACTTTATTAAAGGGACAGTTAATAAACATCTAGAAAATGGAGCAATGATCAGAAAGAGCCAGCATGGCTTTATCAAGACCAGGTCACACCAGAATGACTACTTCTTTTCTTTTCTTTTTTTGACATTGTTACTAGAGTTGCAAATTGGGTAAATGCTGTGGATGAAGTTTACTTAGCTTTTAGCAAATCATTTGCCAAAGTTTCTCATGCCATTTTTTTTGTGGAAAATATGGAGAGAGGTGGGCCAGGACAATAATATGATTACATAACTTTTGAGCTATGAATGGCATGAATGCTCAGACCCAAAGAGTGGTCATTAGTGATTCAAAGTAAACTTTGTAAAAGTAAACTAGAATAATTCCCTGAGGATCTTTCCCTGAACTTTTATTGTTTAATATTTTTATCAGCATTTTAGATAAAGATATTTATGGCAAGTCCATCAAATTTGCAAATGATATAAAGCTGAGAAGGACAGCTAACATTTTGGTAGTCAGAATCAGGACCTAAAGATATTTTGGCAGACTAAACCATTAGGTTATATCTATTAAGATGAATCAAGGCAAGTATTATTCCTAGATATAAAAATCAGTAATTCACCTGAAAACATCTGGGGTTCTTACTGGACTCCATGTTCGATAAGCCATGTGTAATTAATATGGTGGTCAATAACCCAATGTACTCTTAGGCAGCATTAATGGAGGCATAGTGTACAGAATTAGCAAGGTTAGAATCTTGTTGCACTCATTTCTGGTCAGACCACCTTTGGAGTATTGGGTTGGATTCTGGGCACCACATTTAGAAAGAACATTGATGAGCTAGAAACCATGGGCATGGCAAAGAGCCTTGAGATCACACTAAATGAGAATCAGTTGGAGGAAAGGGAGAGACTCAATAGATATTTTTACATACCTGAATGGCAATCACAGGGAAGGGAGACTGGACTTATTCTACGTGGGTGGAAATTTAGGCTTACGGTAAGAAAAATACTTCTTAACAATTAGAGCTATTCAAAACTGGAATGGCCTTTCTCAGGAAGTAGTGGGCTCCCCTTATTGGAGGTCATCAAGTAAAGGATATATGACCATGTTGGATATGTTGTAGAGAAGATTCTTGGCCATGCATGAGGTAGCTTTGAGATCCCCTCCAACTTTATTCTCTAATTCTGTATGGCTTAGACTCTAAGCACTAAAGAAAGGGTAGATTAGTGGAGGTGGGACCTTGGCAGAACCTTGAAGAATGGTAGGAATCTTACAGGAGGGCAAAAGGGACAGAGACATTTTAAAGGGAAGGAAATGTTATGAGTAAAGATTTGGAGGGAAGAATGAACAAGTGTGTTCAGGGAACAGGAAGGAGTCCCTCCTGACTGAAGTGAGTCTTGGCTCTGCTATCATATGACCTTGGGTAAGTTATTTAACTCTCTAGGCCTCAATTGCCTCATCTGTGAAATGAAGATGGATTAGATGGTCTCCAAGTTTCCTTCTAGCTCTAATTGATGAGATAAATTAAAGGCTTCTCTTCTCCCTACTTATACCCTTCCTTCTACCCCTACAAGCCACTCAAATGCACAGAAATTAAACATTGCGTTCTACAGTTTCTCCATAAGGGTAGAAAAAGTAACATCCTTGAAACCCATCCCCATACCTTGGTCCTCAGTTCCTTCTCTATATCCTGCTCATTCAATTTCTCCTAACCTATTGGAGTCTGCTGCAGTAGTCAGAGCCTGTTTATAGGTCAAAACCCCTTCTGGGGACTACTTTTTATTCGACTACTACATTTTATTCTGTTGCTTTATTTGGTGGGGGGGCAATTGAGGTTAAGTGACTTGGCCAAGGTCTCACAGCTAGTACATGTCAAGTGTCTGGTTTGAGGCTGGATTTGAACTCAGGTCCTCCTGACTTCAGGGCCAGTGCTCTATCCACTGTGCCACCTAGCTGCCCCAATTCTGCTGCTTTTTATTCACACTACTACATGTGGCAGCTAGGGAAGGTCCAGAAGAGATGAATTATAATGATGATTATAGCTAGTATGTATATAATGCTTTGAGGTTCACAAAGTGCTTTACATATATTGTTATCTCATTTCATCCTCACAACTCTGGGAGGTAAATGCTGCTATTATCCCCATTTTATAGATGGTGAAACTGAGGTGGAGAGAGGTTAAATGAGTTACCCAGCATCACAAAGCTCCTAATTTTCTGAGTTAGAATCTGAGAATTAGGTCTTCCTGACTTCAAATCCTACACTCCATCTCCTGTGCCACCCAGCTGCCTCTAATGAAAATAGGCTGGAAGCTGTAGGCAGGAAGGTCAGATTTGGGGAGAGCAGAGAGAGGGGGCTTCATTATGGGAAGGGAAAGGAAAAGTTGAGGGACAACTGGATCCTTAGCTCTCATCTCAGGAAAGTATTCTATGAGCATTACACCGAATATTCTTTTTCTATGTCCTGGACTAAGTCACTTCTATTTTCTTATGCTTTCAGTATTTACAAAAGACCAGAGAACAAATTCTATTTTAAAGCAGACATAATCTTATTATTAAAGTTTTCTGTCCTAAGGACTGAACAAAGGGATAGGCACTAAAACAGGAGGGATTGTGGTCAGACACAGTGAAGAACTGCCTTGCTGTTCATAGGTCCTGCTGGCATGCAGCACCCCAGTGAGGTTTCTATCACTGCTGAGCATCAGGAAGAGACCATCTCTTCTGGGAAGGTCAAACATTCATCTGTCAGGAGGTTGGAGTTTTTAGCTCTTGAATTTTATATATAGCCTTGATTACAATGATTCAATGATACTCAGTATAAAGATCTTTCATTTATGATTCTACAATCAATGATTCCCAATCTATGATTTTATAATCCATGATTCTATGACCTATGATTCTATATGTATATATATAAAACTTTATGACTTGATGTCTACAATTTATGATCCTTGGAGCTATATATCTGTGTCCTGTGATCCATAATCGATGCTATATGATTATATACTGTACGCCTATGATCCACAATTCTTTAATATATAGCTAAGCAACCTTTGAGACCATGATTTATGGATTTATTTACTACAACCTGTGACTATGATCTATTGTTCTCTGATTGATAGATCTGGGCTTTCTAATCTATGGCTCTTTGATCTATGCTTCTGTGATCAATGTATCTGAAATCAGTGATTCTATGATCTCTGCCTATGATTTGGAATCTCTGCTATTTCCCTTGCATATCATGCAAAGAGAGACTAGGCTGTCATTTCCAGGTTGATCCCACATCAGCTTGGGAAATGTCAGGCTGTGAACACTAGCCAGAGTGATTTGCATGCGTCTCAAAGTGACAAGTGACAGGGGCACCCAAGTCCAGCTGCGGGATGATTAATGGTTTGACATTGGCCGATGCTGCCTGCTGGTGCTGCTGGGCTTGCTCTTCGGTAAACCAGGGAGGCGGCTTCAGCAAATGCCACCTGCTGATGGGCCGTGTGAATTTGGGTGCCTTCTGGGCAAATGTATGGCCTTGTACGGGGTAGTGTCCTCTACAGGAAAAGCATACGACTTGGAATTTGAAATAAGACTTGGGTTTGAATCTCAGCTCTGCTGCTTCCTATCTAGGGGACTTTAGGTGAGTTGCCAACCATCTTCTCTGAGCTTTAAATTAAGGGACTGGACTAAGTGATTTCTGAGAGCCTTCTGTCTCTGTCATCCTATGATCCTGTGGGGCCATGTCTATAGGCTACTATACTGCTCCGCCCTCTGATAATGCCATAGAATCTTAGGTAATGGAATCTTAGGTTTTTTAATCAGAGATCAAAGAATCATCAATTATAGAATCATAGATGAAATATCTCAGTCTAGTCTCTATACTATCAAGAAAATCCTAGATAACAAAAATTTAGTCCATTTGTCCTGGTCATTTCTGAATCATCTCAGAAAGATTGGAGTTGGAGAAGAGAAAGGTGAAGGGGAGGCAGGACTGGTCTGAAGTTGGAAAACTGTAAATGTCTCTCACCCTGCCTCAGTATCCCTGGTGCATGGTAGGAAACAACAAACAAACAAACCAAAGCAACTCTGATCTTAGGCTGATTTGAAAGAGGTGTCCAGAACAAAGGAACCTCCTCAGATCAACTGGAGTACTGTGTTCAGTTCAGAACACCCCATTTTAGTAAGGATAGTAATAAGCTAGAATTACCAAAAGGAGACCAACCAGGATAGTAAAGAACTTTGTTGTTGTTCAATTGTTTCAGACTCTTCTTGATCCATTTGGGGTTCTCATGGCAGAGATACTGGAGTGATTTGCTATTTCCTTCTTCAGCTCATTTTACAGATAAGGGAATTAAGCAAACAGGTTCAAGTGACTTGCCCAAGGTCACAAAGCTAGTGAGTGTTTGAGACTAGAATTGAACTCAGGAAGATGAGTCTTCCTGACTCCCAGCCCTATGCTTTATCCACTGAGCCACCTAGCTGCCCATTCCATATAAGTAAGTTGAAGGAATTGGGGCAATTTATCCTGGAGAAGAGAAGACAGAATGTAACATGATAGCTGTCTTCATGTATTTCAGTGAATGCCAAGTGGAAGGGAGATATTAGATTTGTTCTGGTTGGCCACAGTAGGAAAAGAACTAGGAGTGATGTACAGAAATTGTAAAGAAGAAAACTAAGGCTTGAAATAAGAAAAGACTTCTTAACAAGCAGAGCTATCCCAAAGCACCATGTGTTGCCTTGGGAGGGAGGGAGGTTTCCTCTTACTGGGGGATTTTAAGGAGAGGCCAGATGATTACTAGTCAGGGGTACTGTAGAGAAATATCCTGGCCGGGTTGGCCCAGATGGCCTCCCAGGTCATTCATTTCCAGTTGTGAGATTCCATGATTCAGTACCGGAAAATGGAGTGACTTGTCTGCATCATACACCTAATTGCAGAAGTGGCAGTAGAATCAATATAGCCTACTATATCAAAGCTCCCGAATCTCTATCTATAGGGATTCAGTAGTCCCCTGAGCTTTTATAGCAGTGGGGTTGGACTGCACTGAGACATTCACATTCTTCTATGGTCCCTCTTGTGACAAATGACGTACATTTGTGAAATAGCTATCCAGCCTAAGAGATCAGTCTGATTAACCAAGTCTCTGAGAATTAAGTCTAATTCTTTACAAAATGGCTATACTGAGGCCTGGAGAAGTTGCCCAAGGCCATGTGGTGGGTTAGCAGTAGAGAAAGAAAGACACTGCCAGTCTAGGAAGCCACCAGAGGGGAGTAATCAGAATGGTGAAGGGTCTGGATACCATGCCACCTGAGGATCAGCTGAAGCAATTAGAGAAGTTTAGCCTGTGGAAGAAATGGCTTGAGGAAGAGATGATAACTGACTTCAAGAATTTGAAAAGTTAGGGACAGGAAATAAAAGACTTGTTTTGCTTGGCTCCAGGTACAGAATGCGGTCTAGTGGATGGAAGTTACAGGGAGGGAACTTTTAGATTAATATAAGAAGCCTCCAAGAATGACAAATGACCAATGGCAGAATAGACTGCTTTATGAGGTAGTGAACTTAACACCACTGGAAGGATTCAAGGATGAACACTTGTCAGGAATGTTGTAGAATGGCTATGTGATAGGATGGTAGATTAGATGATTTCTAAGACACTTTCCAGCTCGAATTCTGCTAATCTGTTCTATCATACGTGCAGTTATCATTTAGCCCTAGCTCCATGTTATTGTTGATAGCATGCCTCCAACCTGGAACATCTCCTGCCTTTCCAGTCTGTTCATTGCCTCCTTAGAGATCATAGCCAAAAGTACATCCAGGAAGCCTTCTGATCTTCCTTTAAACTTTATCCTCCCTAGAGCTGGCCTTCCAGTGCTTAGCATGGGATTGTATCTTCCACTTGTTGCTATGTGTTGTAGTGACTGCTCTAATGCAGTCTTTTACTGGCAGGTGCAGTTTCCTTCCAATTAGATTGTAAGTTTCCCAGAGGCAAGGACCTGAGTTCAGATGTAGCCACTAGCTATGTGACCCAGGGCAAGTCACTTAACCTCTAAGTTACTTAAGTCACTTAAGGCTCTGTCTGCCTTAGTTTTCTCAACTGTGAAATGGGGATAACAATAGTGCCTACCTTCCAGGGTTATTGTGAGAATCAAATGAGAAAACATTTATGAAGTGCCTAGGAAAGTGCCTGGTAAATAGTAGGTGCTTAAGGGTTCCTTTCACCTTTCTCTCTACGTCTTTAGTGATTTCCAGAATAAAGATTGAGTCCACAGTAGGTGTTCAATTAATAGCTTCCCTTGCTCATCCTCCACACAATTGTCAGGATAATCTTCATGTATGACACTCAACTTTTCAAAAATGGCCAATGACTCCCTATTATTATCAATGAATCAATCAATCATAATCTGAATTGAAAGAGATCTCAGAGGCCATCTAGTCCAAATGGTACCTGAACAAAAATCCTAGCTGCAACCTACCTGACAAATGGCCACCCAGCCTTTGCTTGAAGACTGCTGGTGAACGGGAAGCTATTTGCCCTCAGAGGTAGACCACTTCCCTTTCCACCAGGTCTGTCAGGGAATTTGTCCTTAACCCAAGTCTAAATTCACATCTTCTCCATTTCCACCCCTCGATCCCAGTACTATCCTGTGGGAGTCAGGCAGAGTAAATTTAATCCCTCTTCCATGTAACATACCGATAAACACTTGAAGACTGCTGTCAGATGCTTCCACCTAAGTATTCTTTTCACCAGACTAAAAATTCCACCTCAGCCTAGCATTCAAGGTCCTTGACAATCTGGCACTAAGTTGTCTTGGGTGACTCTGTCCTTGGGAAAGACTGAGAGAAGAAGGAGAAAGGAGTCCAGGGGCTGCCCATACCACCCTCTTCCTATGACCTCCTTGCCTTCACCTCTTAGGAACCACAATACATTTCTTTCAAGGTGAATGACATCCCTTCTGAATTTCACACTCTCTTTCTCCCTCCTCTCTCCCCCTTCTTCACTCAGGGTTTTATTTTTGGCCAGGTAATTAGCATCTCTCCTCTCATTAATATTATATTTTAAAAGAAAAGATAGTGGGGAGGGGGACTGGGGGTTGGGAGGGAGGGGCTTGCATATGCCTGTAATTGTCTCAACAGCCTAAGATCCGGAAGCATTGACAGTTTACTTTAAGTGGCCCAATTAGCATAACAAACGACTCGCCAAAAGTTCTGAAGGCATCGTGTTGATTAATGCAATTTATCTTGCAAACCAGCGGCAGACGGCTGAATGCTGCTAATGATTATTATATACATTTATACACATTATGTACATACTGCCTCCTCGCCAAGGAAACCAGTCTTCCCTCCTTCTTTCCCCTATTACTCCTCTCCTCTGCCTTGGACTCTCCCTGGATAGCTCCTCCTACCCCAAACTCCATAATTGGTCCCAAGTCCATCTATGGTCTGCTTGGCCTGTTATGCATATTTCCCAATTCTAGTCTCATCCTCAACTCCATCAGCCTCACTTCCAAGAAACTGATTTCCCATGCAAAAGAGAAGGCTGTAGGTCCATCTGCACTACTGTGTAGGCACAAAGAAGCAGCTTTCACTCAGTTCTGCCATTGCCCACCGTTTCCTGCCATCTCCAAAGATGCCCCAATGAGTAAGAGTATAGCAATAGCTCCCATTTAGAAGGTGCTTCATGGGTCACAGAATTTCTCCCCCATAACTCTACTACCATGTGAATAGTATCTCTATTTTACAGGGGAGAGACCTGCTATTCAGAGATGTGAAAGGGGCAATATGTCATCATATAACCAGCAAATGCTGGAACTTGTATTTCATTCAACCCAGTTCTGCCTCCCAAATCCAGGGATATTCCTATCATATCACACTGCCTCTGGGAAGAATGTATATTGTCTAGATGAATATCATTAGATTAATAGTATTGTGTATTTTTTTTTTACAATAAAATGCCACAAACAACTTTGAAAAGCTGAACTACTCTGATCAGTATAATGATCAGCCTTGATTCTAGAGAACTAGTGATGAACATCCTACCCACCTCCTGGCAGGAAAAGGATAGATTCAAAATGTAGAATGAAACATGTAGTTTTTGGTCATGGTTGATGTGGGAATTTGTTTTGCTTGACTATGTATTTTTGTTATAAGGGTTTTACTTTTATTCATTTTTCAATGAAGGTGGGAGAGAAAAGAACATTTTAATTGAAAAAAAACCCTTAAGTGCCATCTTCCCTACACCCATATAAAATATAATATTCAATCAATCTCCATCTAGGTGGACCTGAAGTCAGGAAGATCTGAGTTCAAATCTGGCCTTGGACACTTACTAGGTTACAGTTTTAGGCAAGTCACTTAACTTATCTGCCTCAGTTTTTTCATCTGTAAAATGGAGGCAAATAGCACCTATTTCCTAGGGTGATTGTGAGGATCAAATGAGATAAAGCCATTGGTAGAGAGCTTTGCAAACCTTGAATACTATATAAATGCTGAAGAATCAACAAGTATTTTTAGCGATTTGTGAAGAAATCTTGGCTAACATGGTACCCAATCCCACAATCAGGAGAAGTGGATAAGGTCCTTCTTTTCAAGCAATAAAAATCAATCTGTTCTGGTTCCAGGCACAGTCCAAGGTAAGAGACACAGAAGTCGTGTCAGAACAGAGAGAACAATCAGAAACCAAAGTAGGACTACTGACTTGGAAGCAAAAAATGTCACGGCTAGGATTCATGGAGAGGAAAGACAGAGGAACAGGCCAGAGGTGAAGCACCACAGGTATGTCTGCCTTCAAGTAAACTGAACAGTTCACTTCCCAGAGGAGAACCCTTCAGCCCCTTAATTCAATAGCTGCTTTTCCTTGGCTTGGAAGTTAACATAGACTGCCTATTCCCAATCCTACCCAACGTGTGCTGATTACTGAGTCATGTAATAGGTGGTGGTGGATACAGAGACAATGGGCTTGTTCTCAGGGAACTTACAGTCTGTTTAGAGAGAGAAGATAACTGTCTGTCTCTGCACTATGATGGAATGCTGTTTCCTATGAGGCAGGACTGCACAGTGAATAGAGAACTTGGGAGTCAGGGAGTCAGGAAGGTTTGGGTTTGAGCCCTGCCTGGTCCCTGATACACAAAAGGTCTCTGACCACCGACCCTCCTAGTACTCCTGGAAGGTCTCTAAGATGCAAGATTACAGAGCAGGAGCTTATCAGCTTTGGTAAAGGTTTCCTTACTCCTGTGTTTCCAAATATGACAGAATTTCATTAGTATAGGGGACTCCAGGTAAGGAAAGTCTTTCTATCAGTACAGGATGGCTCCCTCTCTGTAATTTAGCCTCTCATATATGTGTGTGTAATACTACTAATCAAAGTAATAGTTAGCATTTATATAATGCTTTAAGGTTTACAAAGTCCTTTACAAACAGTATCGTATTTTGTTCTTACAACAATACGGGGAGGTGGGTGCTATTATTATCCTCATTTTACAGTTGAAGAAAATGAAGCAGTTGGAGGTTAAGTGACTTGTCCAAGGTCACACAGCAAGTGACTGAGGCTGGATTTGAACTCAGGTCTTCCTGACTCCAAGCCCAGTGCTCTATTCACTGTACCAGCTAGCTCAGTCAATATACATGTATATATTTTTATGTACATATACACACATAAAAGAGAATTTATATGCAAACTTGTGTATGATGAATTCAGTGTGAGATAGTTTGGGAAGGTGTCACAGAAGAATAAATACTTGAGCTGGACAAGCTAAAGATGAGTAGGCCTTGCCTAGAGGGGCAAGCACAGTATAGTGGAGAGAGTGTTGTTTTTGGAATTCTGAGAGCCTTAGATGCAAATCCTGCTTCTGACACTTTCAAGTTAAGTGACAAGGAAAAAGTCACTTAATTTCTCTAAGTTTCACTTTCCTCATCTGTAAAATGGGGGTGATAATAATGCTTAAAATACCTCACAGGGCTATTGGGAGGACTAAATGAGATAATTTATGTGCTTTGCAAACCTTGAAGTGTCAGCTACTATTTTAAGTACTGAGAAGGGAAGAAAGGCATGCTAGGCTGGAGAATGGGGTAAGTAAAGGTGGAAACTTGGAAATATGGAGGTCATATTCAGTGACTGTAAGTAGACCATCTTGGCTAAATGGAAAGATTGGAAGAAGTATAATAAAAGAAATTTTAGTAAGAGTTGGTAACCAGTGGGATATGAAAACTGAGGGAGAAAGAGGAGCCAAAGACCATATTAAGACTTTGCGCCTAGAAGAATTATGGTGCCATTGACAAAATTGGAAAATCAGGAAAAGGAGCTGGTTTTCAGGAGACAAATATTTCAGGAATCCAAATAAATTAGCTTTGGACTTGATGGGTTTCCAGGTGGAAATGTCTTGGAGTTTTACAGAAGGGTCAGGTCTAGTAAGCCCCAATGCCCTAGAGTTAAACATCAAGCTATAGAAAATATAGTGTGAATGCTCTAGGGAGGGGAAGGGCCCTCAAATAATGGTGTGAATTTTATAGGGGAGAAAAAAGTGCTGTGCTGGGGAAGTCAGAAAACTGGCTTTAGTAGTGATATACTGTGCTACCTTGGGCAAGTCATTTAACATTCCTTGGCCTCAGTTTCCTTATATGTAAAATTAAAATTTTGGATGTTGTCATAGGAGCAACAACTACTCCATGTAACCTAGCCTAGTTTCCCTCTAAAAAGGCAATAAAATCATCCTCAAGAATTTATTAGTCCAGTGAACTAAAGTTTGAATCATTGATGTGGCTTCTTCCTCAGTTCCTAAGTACAAAATCCCAGGCCACTGGGAGTCTGGAGAAATTAAGGGGCAAAGAAATTGTGCCCAACTAAATCAACAGCAAAGCCTTTCTGAATAACCTTTCCATTCCATTGTCTTTTCTTAAATGTTACATGGTTTATGAGTATCTCATTTCATTCCACTCCTGAAACCTGAACAAGTGGACTGGCTTAAGTCAGGCCTGGCCCCAAACAGACTAGACTACCTCTATGGTCTCTTTCAGATCAAACAGTTCTGGGATTCTAATTATTTTCCAACATATCCTCTTGAAAGAGAGCCTTGGCAGTTTCAGATGATGCCAAGAAGAGGTCAGAATGAGGGAGAAGGCTATTTGAATGAATAAAGGAATAGAGAAGTAGCTGTGATTTCATTAATGTGTGGGCAACTCATTTGTGACTTAGTAGATAAAACCCAGGTAAGTGTCTGCTGTTCAGAGAAATTAAGAAATTGACTGGTTGGGGATCACAGAGCTAAGCAAAGAGTTAGGATTTGAACCGAGGTCTTCCTGACTCTAAGCCCAGGACTCTGCATTTCCCTGCTGCTGAACACATAAGATTCCTTTATTTGGAATACATTTTTAGCTCATCTTAAAATGGAAGCTTAAACATTTGATAAGTAGGTTAAAAGATAGTGTTCTCAACAAACACATGCTCCTTTTGTTAACTTCATTCTGCTAGGGTTGCAACGACCTCCATCCTAAATTAGTGAGATCTGTAGGAATGAGGTTGGCCCTATGTATTACCGCTTAGTTTTAAGTCTTAAATCCATCTCTCTCTCCTCCCAGCCTCAATCCCATAATCTCCCAACCAGAAAAAATAGCAATTTATAGACTCAGGGGTAGGGGTGGTATGAGGTGGAGGAACCTCTAAAAGCAATCAACTAACAAACATTTATTAAGGATTTACTATGTGCCGGGATGGGCAGCTAGGTGGTACAGTGGATAGAGTGCTGGGCCTGGGGTCAGGAAGACTCCTGTTCAGGAATTTAAATCTGCCCTCAGATACTTACTAGCTATGTAAACCTGGGCAAGTCATTTAGCCCTATTTGCCTCAGTTTCCTTATCTGCAAAATGAGCTGGAGAAGGAAATGGCAAACCCCTCCAGTATCTTTGCCAAGAAAATCTCAAAAGGGGTCACGAAGGGTCAGACAGGACTGAAATGACTGAACAATAACAGCAACGTGCCAGGCACTGTGCTAAGTGCCGGAGACCCTAACCCTCTTTTGTCCTCGGCTCCTCTCGTATGGAGTCTCTGATAGGGATTTGGGAGTTTGCCAAATTCCTGTCTCTGCTACTTGGATCATTTCTGGAATTCTAGTCTGTGGTGGGTGCCAAGAATATCGCATTCAGGCCCCAGTGAGAATGCTACCCGAGAGAGATGTCTTCAAGAGAGTGGCATTTTGTTTTTTTGACAGTTCTCTCCCCAGCTGGGCTACACAGTGGGCTACACTTCATGAAGGTGTGTATGGTTGTAACTGTGTGTATCTGTGGACTTGTGTGATTGTGCTTGTATATATGTTGGAGTGTGTGTTGTACATAGGAACATCTGTACTTCAGTTTGTGTCTATGATTGATAGCATTGCAGCTGGAAGGACCTTAAAGGTCGCCTCGTCCAATTAGATCATTTTTCAGTTGAGGAAACTGAGGTTCGTCAAGATCAAATGACTCGCCCAAGATTCAACAAGTAATGATAGTGATAATAATTTTTATTTAGTCATTTTTCAGTCATGTCCTACTCCCTGTGACCCCATTTGGGGTTTTCTTTGCAGAGGTATTGGACAGGTTTGCCTTTTCCCCATTTTTTGGGGCAGATGAAGAAACTGAGGAAAAAAGGGTTAAGTGACTTGCCCAAGGTCACACAGCTAGTAAATGTCTGAGGCCAGATTTGAACTCAGGAAGATGAGTCTTCCTGGCTCCAGGCTTGGCACTTTTATCCACTGTCCCACCTAGTTGCCCAATAATAATGATGATGATTCACATATATGGCTCAAGGTATGCAAAGTACTTTACAAACTTTATTTCATTCGATCCTCACAGTGCTATTGTGGGAAAAATGCTGTTATTATTCTTACTTTATGAATGAGGAAACTGAGGCCCAGAGAGTTTAAATAATTAACCTAGAGTTAAAAAGCTAGTAAGGGTTTGAGGCAGGAATTTAATTCAGGTCTTCTTAGCTTCAAATCCAGCTGTCTATCCATTATGCTACCAGGTTACAAAGTAGAAGAGTCAGAATTTGAACTCAGTTCCTTTGACTTAAAATTTCAGCACTTTTCCCATTATATATATATATACATATACATATATATATATATGAGCTTATGTGCATACATGAGAATGTGTATGTGAGCATATTTGTGTCTCTGAGTCTGCATATATATAGGTAAATATGTGCATGAGTCCCTCTAGAGCTGTCTGTGTCTATTTGATTTTCTCTCCATGAATGAACATGTTATTATGTACATGAGTCTGCATGTCCCTATAAGTATGCATATGTGTATCTGTATGTGTACATATCAGGGCAGGTAGATGGTGCAGTAGATAGAGCACAGGGTCTGGGGTCAGGAAGAACTGAGTTCAAATTTGGCCTCAGTCACCAGTTGTGTGACCTTGGGCAAGTCACTTAACACTTTATTCCTCAGTTTCCTCATCTGTTAAAAAATGAGTCAGAGAAGGAAATGACAAACCACTCCAGTATCTCCTTCAAGAAACCCCCAAATGGTGGCAGCTAGATGACACAGTGGATAGAGCACTGGCCCTGAAGACAGGAGGACCTGAGTTCAAATCCAGCCTCAGACCAAACACTTGATACTTACTAGCTGTGTGACCCTGGGTAAGTCACTTAACCCCAAATTGCCTAAAAATAAAAGAAAAAAAAGAAAGCCCCAAATGGGTCATGAAGAGTCAGACATGACTGAAAACGACCAACAACATGTGTATATATGTGTCCTATGAGATTGAATACAAATTCCTTTCTAGTAGGG